TTTTTTTTTTTTTTTGCGTGGACTGTTCCTTTAATGTTCATTTATAAAAAATACTATTGTTCAGTGTTAATTCATATTGCTTCAGAATATATTAAATTATGTTAATTTATACATACATATTACTTTATATATAAACTTAAAATAGTAAAAATTTATTAGTATATATAGAAATTAACATTAGTTGTTAGTTTCAGATATATATTGATTAACTAATGATAATAAATTGATCCTTATTGGAAAGTCTTGCCAGGATTTATATAATTTTGTTGTTCACAGGAATTTTCTAACATAAACTGGGTTTTACAGTAAAAAAAAAAATTCCCCCTTGGCTTCTTGTGGATGTAGTCAGTGTTGCTCTGAAAGTTACTGTCGATTATAGTGCAGAGATATTTAAAGCTGATGACCTGCTTCACATCCTGTGCTGCCAGCTCGAGCATAACTTTCTAATCATGGCGCTTCGTCTTGGTGATATTAATGTGTAGGGAGCTGTTATCAAACCAGAAGACACGGCTGTCAACATACTGGAAATAGACTATTTACATCCTCCTAGCAAGCCACCAAAGCTGTATCATCAGCGTACTTGAAAGGAGCAGGTCACTGTTGTTACACTGCACTTGACTGCTATATATTAACATGATATAACAGGGGAGATGCAGCAGCACACATCCCTGAGGAGCGCCAGTCAGATGAGGTGCTGTTCATACGGACTTGCTGAAGAAGCGCTTTTGATGCAAAGGACCAACCTGCTATTCACATTTACATCATGTAGGTACTTTGGGGTTGGACTGTATTAAATGCAGAAGAGTTAGTTTTGTTCAAATGCTGTTGGACGTTATCCAGCATAGGTTAGCCTGATAAGCAAAATGCAAGGTGTCCATAAATTCACCTTTTTCAGATTAAAATTCTTTCTATATACTGAAGAGGCCCCATGCATTGAAGGAGAACTGATGTAAAATCAATGGGTCAAATGGCATTAAAAGATGTTGCACATGGAGTTTTGGGTACAGCGTTGTAAGATGTCCTTCCAGGCCAGGGTTAAATGTTTCGAAAACATTAGAGTAAACACAGATCCCTGCTGTGCAACACTCCTTTAAACCCTTCCCCTTCAGCACATCTCGATAACCTTCAAACCTAAGCTTTTAAAACTACTCAGACCTCAGGCAAGGTCTGTCAAAACAATATTCAAAATTTGTTTAGGTGGACTTAACTTTTTCTAGTTTGATAGCTTGAATACACATCAGAAATGTCAGCACACAAGAAAAATAAGAACAAGAGGTATTACAGTCACATTATTAACCATATTAACTACCAGATTTCTATCATAAAACCCTAGTTTTCTCTCTAAATCCTTCAGTAAATACAATGATAAAACAAATGCAAAATTGTTTCTTTTAATTTCATCCCCTTTGTAATCGTTAACATTTTCATAAGTAACTGTAATTTAATTACACATTTTTTATATTTAGATTGCATAAATGTAGCTCTGACACATCAAAAAAAGTTTATTAATACAACTTACTTTACTGCGCTAATCGCGATGAACCAATCACTGTCATGTTATTATCAAATACTTGCTGGAAATTTTCAGGTACATTTTTGGAAGGAATATTCACGTTTTATTGTAGGGGAGAGCAGGGTGATTTGAGCCTGCAGGTAAGTTGAGCCAGCCCTTGTTTTTAGACAACCTTAAACAAAACCGGTGGTATTACCAAACATATTTGAAGATTTAGCATCATTCTGTGATGGAGAGGGAACCATGCAATACTTGGTAACTACATTTAGGTTCAAAAAACTGTTTTTTTGCTGTTTAAAGTTATTTTTGTATGTCCAAGGAAACGTCCTGGGGTAAGTTGAGTCAGTGGCTCACCCCTTGGTTATAAAGTGATTATAAAGTATTATTTTAAGGTAATTCTACATTATATTTCATTAATTTTACACCAAACATGATTTTGATTTTGTTCTTTGTTTTGAACTTGATTTTGTTCTGTACATTTTAAATAGGCCTTGTTTATGAAAATTGGCCACTGACGTTTTTATGAAATTGTATTTCCCTGCAACATTTATAAGTGGGATGCTGAGTACTATTAGCCCATTTGTGTAAGGTCAGTTGCAGTCTTTTTTTTTTAATTCTTCAATTTGAACTTTTTGTTCTGAAATTTTTTACTAATTAAAAAAACGCCTTCAGAATTGTGAACTGTATCTTTAAATAAAACTTTTAAGAAGTCATACATCCATCCATTCTATTATCCAAACCTATACAGTCATGGTCAAAAATATCGGCACCCTTGGTAAATATGATCAAAGAAGGCTGTGAAAATTTATCTGATTGTTAATCCTTTTGATCTTTCATTAAAAAAATTCACAAAACTCTAACCCAGGGGTGTCCAAACTTTTCCTAAAGGGGGCAAGATTCGACGATGTGGAAACACTGGGGGGCCGGATGCTTCTACATATATATATATATATATATATATATATTATGTATGTGTGATGTTGAGTTGACAGTAGCAGTAGCTTGTGTTTTGTTGAGGACAAAAACCTGCAAATATCTTGTTTTTAAAGCTTTAATAATTATAACATAGAATGGCTTTATGGTATTTAATCTATTAACAACACATGAAAGCACAAACTGCATCAAAAATGTCTGTAATTTGGCCTATATTTCATAACTCCCTTACATTACATTAAATTGGCCTATATGCAGAGGCAGATAGTAACTAAGTACATTTACTTGAGTATTGTACTTAAGTACACTTTTTAAGTATCTGTACTTTACTTGAGTATTATTTTTTCTGGGAACTTATGACTTTAACTTCAAAGCTTATATAAGCTTCTGTATAAATATGCAACATTTCTGCCACAATATCAGTTACGGTTACTACAGTAAATCAAAATGTTGGTGATTTGTGGATTGAAAAGTATTCTTACTGCATTGTTGTCGCACAATGTTTTTCCTATTTTCCGCGTTAGTGTTGTTGAGAATGTCAGCGCTGTTTCATCTGCCTTTGACATCTGTGGTTGGTTTGTATGGAAACCTCTGCTCCAAACTCAAACGCTTCTCACAGCGCTGTTTAGTGGTCTCGTGATCGAGATCAGTCAACGAGTAACGCATTTGTTCTGAGCTCGCGCTATGCTGTCTTTAGGCAGAGTTAAAAATGGTCCGTGCAGCTATAGAAAATGAGTGTGGTGAACTGAAGAGGAGAAGCACCATCATGGAGCTGGGAATCTGAAGGGTCTGGAGAGATTTTGGATGAAGGAATGGTCTCTGATCTCTTGTCAGGTGCTCTCTAACCTCATCAGGCATTATAGGAGAAAATTTAGAGCTGTTAAACTTGCAAATGGAGGTTTCAAAAAGTATTGAATAAAAGGGTGCTATTAATTGTGGCCAATGTGTATTAGAGAAAAACATTTATTTCATAATGATATTTCCCCCCATTTTAAATTCTTATTATCCAATGAAAGGTTAGATTTTTGTGAATTTTTTTTTAAATAAAAGATCAAAAGGATTAACAATGCAGATTAATTTTCACAGCCTTCTTTGATCATATTTACCCAGGGTGCCGATATTTTTGGCCATGACTGTATGTCCTTATTAGGGTCGTGGGGAGCTGGAGCCTAACCCAGCGTCTTCAGCCACAGGTGAGGAAACTCTCTGGCTGAAAGGCCACATCACAAGGCTCACACATTTTAAGAAGTCATTTTTATTGAATTTCTATTTCTTTGATATAGCATGAAGTGAAAATGTTCAGTTTTACTTCAGCATAATCAGTGGCACAGTTTAACTCCATGTGGCTCAACTTACCCTCTCCCTACTGGAGGTTCAACTCACCCCGCTTTCCCCTACATATGAAATGTCTTTATTCAAAATTTAAGATTTAAATGCGGCTTAAAGCGCCCCCTTGAGGACGACACGTGTGATTCACAAGGTGTAACAGTAGGCGGCGATAATACACCACTTCTGTAACGAACCAAAGTGAAACAAAACAGAAGAAGAGTAGGTAGAGGCGTTCAAATCATGGCATAAAAGTCTCAGCCACGACATGAACAGACAACACCCATTAAAACAGCAGCAAATGCGTGTGGTCTGTGTGATCAGAGTTTAAATGCATCCAGATGTAATAAATACAGACTGTTTCACGGACATAAGCTTGCGAACAAAGCGGATAACACGATCGTGCTGGAGGTATTTGTTAGCAAACTTCAGGACACGACTCTGGCCATCTGCGGCTCATGCAAAACTCTGTTATTGCGGTACGGGCGCGTGTCCAAAGACGCAGAACGAATTAAAATGCTTATTGAGGATATGTGGAAGAAGACCAGAGAGAAACGGTGTGCGACTTCAAACACAGCATCATATGATGATGACAAAAACACTGCATTCTCCTCACTAAGTCGCTGTCAAAATACGTTACTTAGGTATGGAGGATAATACACAGTAAAATGTTGACTATTTCTTGACAAATTCTTGCCAGAGGCCAGATTTATGCAGGCAAACTATATTAAATTAATTAGGATTGTGATATATATAATGCTATGTAATAAAATTGTAGTCTAAACATTACTTGCCTACTATGTTTAAAATAGTAAATAAACAGTAGTATTACTCCTCCATAAATGTTTCAGACACTAGTGTGCTGCACTATTGTCATGTGCCCTCATCAGATTGGATATATGAGTGCTGTCTAGTTATCACCGTGGAAATATATATGGTTTAATTTTTTATTCATTTTTTATTTTTTTTTTACAATACATTTCTTTGTATTGTGACTAGATGTTTATAATGAGCTGTTAATTTCTTAAAAAAAAAAAAAAAAAAACTGCATCAAAACATTTACAGGTGAAACTAAGAACATACGAGGAGTTTCGACAGACTTTGCTTCAAACTGCAAAACATATTAAGGTCAGAATTAAACTATGTTTTCGGGTTATTTGAAAATGTTTATAGGTATATCTGACTTATTTCTCAATGCAGAAGTAGCCATTTCCTGTGAATGTGTAAGATTTCTGATTCATTAGCTGCTATAGGTAAATAACTAAATGGTCTGTCATTCATTTTTCCTCTGTCTTTTATTACATTGTATATTTTTAAAACAGGGACACTAATCTGACTGTACTGCTCAGTAAATAAAAAAAAAATAGACTTACAAACCAACATGAAAAACAAATTGTGATAAAATTCTGGATCACGATCCTGCCTGAAAAATAAATCAATATGATATTTTTGCCATATTGCCCACCCCTAAATAGAAGTTTTATTCGCACCACAAACCAATGTGTTTATGATTACTATAATAAATAATATCATAATAATGTGAAATAGTTTGCAGTATCAGGCAGCATAAATAACTGTTTTTGTACAGCTAATTGGAAGGGGTAATTCAAGTTAAAAATGGCTGTACACACACTTGCATTAAAAAATAATGTGGATAGACTGTAGTGTTACCAACTGTAGTGTTGTGTATTTGTCTGAAATGTATTTTGTTTCAGTTTCAGGCTCAGCACATAGAGAGGCAGATTAAGGAGGAGTTTGAGAAACTTCACCAGAGAGTCAATAAGGATAACTAAACTGTGGAAGGAAGAACAGCAGAAGAGTCAGACAGTGAATGAGAATATTGAGAAAATTAACACAGAGATTTCCTCTCTTTCAGACACTATCAGAGCCATAGAGGAGGAGATTCAAACTAAAGATGCTTTATTCCTACAGGTATGTGCATGTGTATTTACTTACAGCAGATTCAGGATACTGGACACAAATGCAAAAAAGTTGTTTTTGAAAAGTAACAAGTTTTGTTGTATAAGCTGTATTTTTTTGCAGAACTATGATGCCACTTTGAAAAGGTTTGTATCATTTCTTCTGTTGTTCTGAACTCAAACCACAGCATCACTGACTGCTGAGTGTTTCTCCAGTTTCCCAGTGTAAACCGCCGGATCCGGAGAACATTTCTGGAGTTCTGATCAGTGTGCCAAAACACCTGAGCAACCTGATGTTTACTGTGTTACAGAAGATGCAGAAAACTGTTGATTACAGTGAGTAAAGATCACAACAATTAATTCAGCTCCATCATAAGAGTAATTTGTTTTATTTCATGTTTATGTGTCTCTCTCTTCAGCTTCTGTGACCTTTGACCCCAACACTGCTCATTGTAATCTCATCCTGTCTGATGACCTGACCAGTGTGAGGTACAGCGATGAGGAACAGACACTTCCTGATAATCCAGAGCGATTCGATATGTTTGCGTGTTCTGGGCTCGGTGGGTTTTGACTCTGGCTCTCACTGCTGGGACGTTGAAGTTGGAGACAGTACAGGCTGGTTCCTCAGAGTGATGGCTGAATCTGCTCAGAGGAGGAATAAAATATTCTCAAGGAGTGGAATCTGGCTGGTGGCTCATTTCTGTGGTGAATATAAAGCACATGAACCACCACAATCACCAACTCTCCTCCCAGTGAAAGAGAAACTGCAGAGGATCAGAGTTCATATGATTACTATAATAAATAATATCATAATAATGTGAAATAGTTTGCAGTATCAGGCAGCATAAATAACTGTTTTTGTACAGCTAATTGGAAGGGGTAATTCAAGTTAAAAATGGCTGTACACACACTTGCATTAAAAAATAATGTGGATAGACTGTAGTGTTACCAACTGTAGTGTTGTGTATTTGTCTGAAATGTATTTTGTTTCAGTTTCAGGCTCAGCACATAGAGAGGCAGATTAAGGAGGAGTTTGAGAAACTTCACCAGAGAGTCAATAAGGATAACTAAACTGTGGAAGGAAGAACAGCAGAAGAGTCAGACAGTGAATGAGAATATTGAGAAAATTAACACAGAGATTTCCTCTCTTTCAGACACTATCAGAGCCATAGAGGAGGAGATTCAAACTAAAGATGCTTTATTCCTACAGGTATGTGCATGTGTATTTACTTACAGCAGATTCAGGATACTGGACACAAATGCAAAAAAGTTGTTTTTGAAAAGTAACAAGTTTTGTTGTATAAGCTGTATTTTTTTGCAGAACTATGATGCCACTTTGAAAAGGTTTGTATCATTTCTTCTGTTGTTCTGAACTCAAACCACAGCATCACTGACTGCTGAGTGTTTCTCCAGTTTCCCAGTGTAAACCGCCGGATCCGGAGAACATTTCTGGAGTTCTGATCAGTGTGCCAAAACACCTGAGCAACCTGATGTTTACTGTGTTACAGAAGATGCAGAAAACTGTTGATTACAGTGAGTAAAGATCACAACAATTAATTCAGCTCCATCATAAGAGTAATTTGTTTTATTTCATGTTTATGTGTCTCTCTCTTCAGCTTCTGTGACCTTTGACCCCAACACTGCTCATTGTAATCTCATCCTGTCTGATGACCTGACCAGTGTGAGGTACAGCGATGAGGAACAGACACTTCCTGATAATCCAGAGCGATTCGATATGTTTGCGTGTTCTGGGCTCGGTGGGTTTTGACTCTGGCTCTCACTGCTGGGACGTTGAAGTTGGAGACAGTACAGGCTGGTTCCTCAGAGTGATGGCTGAATCTGCTCAGAGGAGGAATAAAATATTCTCAAGGAGTGGAATCTGGCTGGTGGGTCATTTCTGTGGTGAATATAAAGCACACGAACCACCACAATCACCAGCTCTCCTCCCAGTGAAAGAGAAACTGCAGAGGATCAGAGTTCAGCTGGACTGGGACAGTGGAAAGCTGTTGTTCTCTGACCCTCTTACTGACACACACATACACTCCTTTACACACACTTTCACTGAAAGATTATTTCCATTTTTTGGTGTTGGCTGTAACATTTCTCCTCTGCACATCTAACCTGTAAATTCCTCAGTAAAAAAAACTCACTGTAGATCAAATTATTAAACTTAACACCCAGTTGTCTTCATTTAGTAATCTTTGACTCTGCTGCTGATTATGTTTAGTCATTTATGATAAATAAATAAACATGCTCATTGACCTTTTGATGCTAAGTCTATTAAAAGGCATGTATATATTTAAAGGGATAGATACCCAAAAATGAAAGTTCTGTCATCATTTACTCACCCTCAAGTTGTTCCAAACCTGTACACATTTCTTTCTCTTTATTTTTCTAAAATCTTTGTGTTTATATGAAGAAAGAAAGCCATAATTGTGCCTATTAATAGGTTACATGTCTCGTTCAGGTTAGGCAATTCAAATTTTACCTCTGATTAGATTGACAATGACAAAGTGACTTTTTTTAGTCATTTGTGATTACTGGATTTTTAAAAATTATTTGCGATTGCTCTCACAGCAGTTGTTATTGGCAACTAAAACTATTAATAACCTTAATTATATTTTTTGGTAATTATGCTGAGATAAAATGTCAATTTTATATGAAATCTTAAACTTAAAAAAATGAAATAATTAAAAAATAATGAAAATTAGAAATGTTGCCTTGGCAGTTAATTAAAATGTTTATGTACTTAAAGTACTAAAACGAAAATGAAAATAAATGAAGGCTATATAGAAATATGACAAAAGCAAATAAAATGAGTAAAATTTAAATGAAAACTGCACATGTAAAAGCTAATTTAAAAGATGAATCAATAATATAATTAACATTTTTAATGAAACATTTTAAAACTTGGCAAATTATTTTATTAATTTATTCATCCGGACTTTCAATGACTGTGGGAACCCTGAATAATCAACCATTTGAATTACAAATTGTATTTATTTAGCATTTTCAGAATTACTATTACTTTAGCATTTACATACTCACTGATTAACATGCTAGTTTCAAGCTATTACATGTTACACGTTACACATGTAAGTCCATCTTCTTGGTCTTAATGCCACAAAGATTTTTTCCTCCTCTCTGTCTTTCCTTCTCTTTCCACTATCAAACTCACTTTGTCTCAGTGGAGATCTGCAGTAGAGGGGTGCTGATTTCACTGGACTGGTAACTGCTGGTGACTCTAAGCAGGCAGCTGAGGAGCATGTCTTTGGCCCGTGCCGTCTCCATGTTCTGCTCACGGCTCAGCTGGAGAGTCATCTGATCCAGACTTGTCTGCAGTAACTCAGAGGCCATGACGGGCCTGGTCACCACGGCTCCCTCAGTCAGGTACTGCTTGTACAGCTCCAAAAGCTTCTGTTCCAGGTAGCCATTGAGCTGTGAGTTAGAGAGGGGCTGGCTGAACTGCAGAAGAGAGGGACGCTCGCGCCCACTTTCTTCCCTCCAGCGCCTCGAACTCCTGTACTCGTGGACCAGAGGAGGCAGGAGGGAGGGGGAGGGAACATCTCCAGACAGGAGGAAGGGCCCAGGCTGGGGGTTTTGAATGAGATTGCCCTGTACATCCCCTGCACAGGGGCTGAGCGGCAGCACCTGGCCACCAGCAATATGTAAATCGCTGTAATGCTGGCAGATGCTGTGGCAGCATGAAGGCACCAAAAAGGCCTCTGCTTCTGGGGCGTTTGTAAGCCTGGGAATATCCACACCTATGGCCAGTTGCCATCCTGCCTCAGGGTCCGTGGGGGAAGGATGAGCATCGCTCTGCTGGGTCTTGGTCCGGGTTGTATTTTCTAGAGATGTGTGGACGGAGCTTTGTGCTGAGAGGGGGCAACTTGGCAAAGACGATGATGGCACTGTGACCATGCAGCATGTTGGGGGATTTACACACTCACGTTCAGCTTCAAACACCAAACTCCACAGCTTACCTTCACACAACATCTACAGTACACAAACACAGAAGATAAATCGGTTCACACTGAACTCAGATGACCTAGCATTCAACAGTTTAAGGTCAGAAAAGAAAGAAAGAAATACTTTGTGCAAGGATGCATAATATTCATCAAAAGTGACAGTAAAGACTTTACAGAAATAACATTACAGAAATTTCTATTTCAAATAAATGTTCTTTAGAATCCGGGAAAAATGCATCACAGTTTCCACACAAAATAATGAGCAAGAAAAAATTTTCTTCAGAATTTTAGAATGATTTCTGAAGGATGATCATCATATCATATCATTGCTTAGTCCATCTCACATTACCCCAAGAATATAAAGTTAAAGTAATCTAAGACATTTTTGCATCTTTCACAATTTACTGTGATTGTCATTACCCAATACTTCAGACCAATTAAGAAGACTAGAATCCAGCTAGAATGTGGAAGACAAAAGGAGGATTATGGTACATAGATAGACAGACAGTTCCCTAAAGCTTACCTTTTTTTCTACTGAAGAATTTCTGATTGTTGAGCTGTGGTGGTGCTATGCAGTTATTGCAGTTGTTACTGTCTCTTTCGCTGAGTCTCCGCCGTTTTTAAGCACTGCTGTAGTGGTTTTTATTTCACTGTAAGTGAAAGTTATGCTATAGTTGTTCAGTTTTATGCTCCACTGCGGGAGGAAGTGAAAGTATTATGAAATTCTGTCTTCCATGTAAATTTGGAACCATATTTATGTGCATTTATAAATGCCTGTTCTCATGATCCAAGCTTGTTATATTACAATAGACTTAAATGAGCTGTTCGATTTGTGTAATGTGCTATTATCCATCAACAGGTTAAGAGTATTTCCACACACCTCAGACCAGCACACCTCCTTTGCTGTTTCCCCTAGATTTCCTGTTTTTGTAAGAGGAGGTCATTAGTAATTTCCATAATGGAGTGTCTTTAAGTACATAAAACATAAAAGCTATTGTGGTGAATAAAAGGACTGTCTGTGCTAATAGGAGATGGACCATGGTCCTATTCTGGGTATTGATTGGCACATTGTTGTATTCTGTAATTCTTTTTATCTCTCACGCTAATTCAAGCAGCTGTTATATTTGGCAGTTTCATTAGAATGAAAAAAATGTCTCTATAGACCGCATATTTCCTCTAATACCAACGTTTGCACCTGCAGCTATTCGGAATCTTATGTAACAGTGAATCTTTATTTCCCCAATGGAACCAAATAATCCAATTCCAATGTAATTTAAACCACTGACATGTAGATTGAATACACGTCTATGTAGTGCCGGTTAATCGGCTAAAGGGTTGGTGACAAAATGCTGCATCACCTACATTCATTATTCATGTGATGATCTGTCTATTTTAGGTAAAAATAAAGATTACCTGATGAAGCAACAAGTGAACAAGCACATATACACGCACATTATGCTTTCTCACAATGTTCTCATAATATGCACAAGAAGAATGTATATACTAGTTTTTAAGAGTAATGCCTATGAAAATAATCAGTACTTACAGGTGCATCTCAATAAATTAGAATGTCGTGGAAAAGTTAATTTATTTCAGTAATTCAACTCAAATTGTGAAACTTGTGTATTAAATAAATTCAATGCACACAGACTGAAGTAGTTTAAGTCTTTGGTTCTTTTAATTGTGATGATTTTGGCTCACATTTAACAAAAACCCACCAATTCACTATCTCAACAAATTAGAATATGGTGACATGCCAATCAGCTAATCAACTCAAATCACCTGCAAAGGTTTCCTGAGCCTTCAAAATGGTCTCTCAGTTTGGTTCACTAGGCTACACAATCATGGGGAAGACTGCTGATCAGACAGTTGTCCAGAAGACAATCATTGACACCCTTCACAAGGAGGGTAAGCCACAAACATTCATTGCCAAAGAAGCTGGCTGTTCACAGAGTGCTGTATCCAAGCACGTTAACAGAAAGTTGAGTGGAAGGAAAAAGTGTGAAAGAAAAAGATGCACAACCAACCGAGAGAAACGCAGCCTTATGAGGATTGTCAAGCAAAATAGATTCAAGAATTTGAGTGAACTTCACAAAGAATGGACTGAGGCTGGGGTCAAGGCATCAAAAGCCACCACACACAGACGTGTCAAGGAACTTAGCTACAGTTGTTGTATTCCTCTTGTTAAGCCACTC